TACTTTTCAGACAGAAGAGTTAAAAGAAACCCTGTGTTTTGATTGCAGTTGTTGTACTCCCCCATTGAGAATATCCAGAGAGTAGCTGCGGGTGTACTTTGTGAACTTGCTCAAGACAAGGAAGCAGCTGAAGCAATTGAAGCTGAAGGTGCAACTGCCCCTTTAACAGAACTGCTTCATTCTAGGAATGAGGGTGTTGGTAAGTGAACTTAAAAAAAAATAAGTTTCATACTTTAAGTTAGAAAAGTTGCTAGAAGAATTGATGTTGACTAAATTTGCTTCTTTTAATAGCAACATATGCAGCTGCAGTGCTGTTCAGAATGTCTGAGGACAAACCACAAGACTACAAGAAGCGACTGTCAGTGGAACTGACAAGCTCCCTGTTCCGGACTGAGCCAATGGCATGGAACGAGGTGAGTTGTGTCCCTGTATGAATGGCACCTTGGGCAGACTTCACTTTCAAGTCCCCCCTCCTTCCAGTAGTGAAGTGTAGATGCCATCAGTGATACGGGTTCAGTTTTACACGTCTGTAGCTTCGTTACTCTGCATGTTCAGGTTCAGTGAACACGTGCTCATAGATTTGCAGAAAATTAGGCAAGCTTCAAGTGCTTACTGTTGTCCTAGGAGAACAATTTATTCATAAACAGGTGATGCTGACAGTCTTGGGAATCTACTGCATAGGGCAGGAAACCATTCTAAGACTACAGAGTTGCTCAAGTAGAATGAAGAATGAGCAGTCTCAGAGCTGCTACTTTAGTGCTTTCTTTTCGGATAGGAAGAGTCTAAAGTTTCTAAATCTCATTTTGCTCTGTGTAAAGCTGTGTATAAGAATTCTGTACGTCTCTGTGCTGCTTCTGATTTCAAAGGACAGCTCGGCAGTAACCTCTAGGAATTTCAGCCACTTTTTGCAGATTGTCCAAACCTGATGAACTCTGGTGGCAAATGCTGAGGAAAGAATGATAGGATACAAAGCATAACCATACCATTATCCTGTAAGAACTCTTAGCAAACCCTTTAGGACTAAGAAGCTTGGTGAGGGTATGTCGTTTGTGTTCTCCTTAATTTGAGAATTGAGCTCTCAGACTTGGAAGTATTTGCAAGCTATCACATGAAGTTTTTTCATGCTTAAAGTCCTGCACAGTAAATTGAGACTGAAAACTGCCTTTGGGGCATGTTTCACTAAGTCTGTCTTTCCCCAGATCCTTGAGGTTCAGGAGTTTTATCTTGATACTAGGTAGCAGCCTTTGACTTGTAGTATTTAAGTGCTCATTTCTGATTTCCTAAAGTCTGTATCTGTCTAACATAGTAACATGAGGAAACAAAGCAAAAATGGAAGATCTCTTTGAAATACAGGTTGTTTCATTACACTGCAGACATGCAGTTCAGTAATTTGACAAACCAGGGGAAGTGCAGTGGGAACTAAGTGCTGTGTCGCTAGCTCAGGAATCTCTAGCCAGCTGACTCACAGAGGTTGGGTGGGTATAGCAGAGCAGTGCTCCCAGACCTGCCTCTTCCTACTTGTTCCCAAACAGAAGTCTCTTTCCAGTGATCATGGCTCCTGTCTCTAAATAGGGCTGTTAGACAGTGGGTGCAGATGCTTGGATGAAAAGACATTTCACGTTCACAGAAGTGTAATACTGCTGTGTGCAGTGCAGAAGAGTTGCTAAAAAAGGATTTGTGGCAAGCTTTAGAATTTCTTAAATTCAATTACTAGTGTTGGCCCTAAGAGCTGACATTAAAACTGTTCTGTAACTTTCTGTGCACATCTAGACAGCGGATCTTGGACTTGACATTGGTGCCCAGGGAGAGCCTCTTGGATACCGCCCAGATGGTATGTCTGTTCCATTCCCCTTGACTGAGCTTAAGCTGAATAAAGTCAAGTCACTGACTGTAAAGGAGAACTGCAAATGACTTAAGAGTGAATTACTCTTCAGCAAGATATTGCAAACTGACAGGCAGATGGGGAACTGCCAGTTCAAATAAGCAGTTTCTGCAACACCTCTGGCTGCACTGAAATGGGAGCCATATGAATGTGCAAAATTGGTGTTGCTTGTCTGAGTCTTGCAAGAGAATCTCCCACTGAGCTACTGTTTCCAGAAATCTTTTAAATCCTTTACAGATGGACTTGACAATTCCAAAAGTGCAGTTTTCTTTAAAACAAATGTTGGTATTGTATATATTAGTCTTTAAGTGTCTGTAGACTTAAACTCAAGCCTATCCCCACGGGTTCTGAGCTATTTTTGACTAGTCTTTCAGAAGAAAGTCTGCAGTCTCGTAGCCCGGTTTTGCTGTAGTATTGTTGGATTTTAGTACTGTTGATTGTGCAGACTAATGGCTTGGCTGGAATCTGCTCGTGCTTCTGACTGCAGTGTGCTTTGTCTGCAGAATCACACTGGAAGGCTGTTTCAAACGATGGAATAGTCATTAAGGGCAGGCAGCAGATCGTTTTGAACTTGGCTGAACTAGAAAAACAATTAGATGGCTACAACGATCTTCTCACACACTGATACTTGCAGCTTCTGATGCGTCTAACATCTGTTAACATTATGCTCTTTTTCCCTCTGCCACCTTTAACTTTCCTAGATCCTAGCTACCGTTCTTTCCACTCTGGCGGATACGGTCAGGATGCCTTGGGTATGGACCCTATGATGGAACATGAAATGGGTGGCCACCACCCTGGTGCTGACTACCCAGTTGATGGGCTGCCAGATCTTGGCCATGCCCAGGACCTTATGGATGGGCTGCCTCCAGGTGACAGTAATCAGTTGGCCTGGTTCGATACTGACCTGTAAATCATCCTTTAGGTAAGAAGCTCCAATCTTGAATTTAAAAACAAAACAAGAGAGAAACGAATTACTGGACTCAGGACTTGGTTGGCAGGGAGGGAATGGCTTAAATGGGTCCCAGTGTGACAGAAGACTGAAAAAAAAAAAGCTCTGGAGACACACGATCAGTACACTCCTACAATCCAAACTGACTTCTGCCGTTAAGTGTGGAAGTAATTAACTGTAATGTCTTGTGCATCACCAGCTTCATGCAGTCTTTATGTTAAAATGCTGTTTACTAAGGAACACTGACATTTTAATCTTTTTTTTCTTCTTTGCAGCTGTATCATCTGAATGAACTTGCATTGATTGGCCTGTAGAGTTGCTGAGAGGGCTCGAGGGGTGGGCTAGTATCTCAGAAAGTGCCTGACACACTAACCAAGCTGAGTTTCCTATGGGAACAATTGAAGTAAACTTTTTGTTCTGGTCCTTTTTGGTCGAGGAGTAATAATACAAATGGATTTTGGGAGTGATTCAAGAAATGAGGAATGCACAAGAATGAATTGCAAGATGGAATTTATCAAACCCTAGCCTTGCTTGTTAAAAATTTATTATTTTTTTTAAATCTCTGTAATGGTACTGACCTTTGCTTGCTTTGAAAGTAGCCTTTCTTTTTGCAGTAACTGTTGTTAGTTTTTTTTTTTTTTAAGTCTCTCGTAGTATTAAGTTATAGTGAACATGCTACAGCAGTTTCTAATTTTTAAGGATTGAGTAAAGGTGTAGAACACTAATTCATAATCGCTCTAACTGTATTCTGAATAAAGTGTAACATTGTGTAGCCTTTTTGTATAAAAAAACTAGACAAATAGAAATGGTCCAATTAGTTTCCTTTTTAATATGCTTAAAATAAGCAGGTGGATCTATTTCATGTTTTTGATCAAAAACTTTATCTGGGATATGTCTGGGTAGGGGCCAGTAAGAACTGTTTATTTGGAACCTTGTATTGGACAGTTTACCAGTTGCCTTTTATCCCAAAGTTATTGTAGCCTGCTGTGATACAGATGCTTCATGAGAAAAATGCAGTTATAAAATGGTTCAAAATTAAAGTAAACTTTTAATTCACTCTGTGTCAAATTATTTCAGTCTGTATAGTTATGCTTTGACAGGTCTTCCAAAACCTGTTCTCAAATTGCACAACACTTTCACTACTTCAAAGGCAGAAACCATCCCACTGAGGACTATTCTGTCCTTCAGAGCTCAGAGCAATAACCACAGAGGCTTCCTCCTGCAGTATTTTTTCTCTTGAACTGCAGCTGCTTTGCTGCAGCAGCTTCCTCAGCAAGGCAGCTACACTTAGTGCCTGGCCTGCGAGGCACATACTGCCCTATGGCCAAAAAATCAATTGAAAATTAGGAAGCAGCATATGTCAGAAGCATACTGTCAGCATGAGGGGGAGAAGGTCCTTCACAATTCTCAGCTGTTCCCCTAGCTTTAACTCATTTTCAGGTATACTCAGCTTTCACTTCCCACTTGAGATAGGACCTACATGCAGCTTGCTTTCTCTAGAGACAGCACCTGTGCAGCTGGAAGTGAGTAATGCCATTCTGAACTGCTGGCTAATTTATAGACTGTGCACATCTGCACTCTGCAGCTGTCACCAGCCTCTGCCCAGAGTGCTCATCCTGCCTCAGAGCAGCAGCTTGCCAGCAGAAGATCACAAGGGGAAAAAGCTGCAAAGGATCACAGCTCATCGTAGGATCCCAAGGAGATGAGAGCTGAAGCAAACTACAAAAGTGCTTTCCTCTGCTTACAGAGCAGACGAACTGCAGCTATGGTGACCTCTCATTGAGTAACCCAGTTTCACTCCTCCCAGCAAAATGTGCACTAGAAGGTTATTACAAAACATTTCACCAAATAACGTGCAGGATTTTCTTCCTTTCTGAAACCTCCAGCTCTAATTCCAGCTGTCAGGCTTTAAAAAGGGATATATACAGTGATAGTAAAGGTTTTGTAAGAAAGCAATTCCAGTAGAAAGTACAAGGTGAGGTCAGTTTGTTTACCTTGTGTTGCTGGCTTGCCTCCCCACTTGGAGAAAGGGCTGTCCAAAGGTGGGCTGGTATCAGCAGCTCAGGAAGGTCCCTGCCTTCTAGGTGTGGCAGCAACATGCAGTTGCTTTAGGCACCAATGTCACATTTCTAACACACCTTAGAATAGTGAAACACTTCCAGCCCATACTGTGAAACAACTAAACTATTTATTTTATTTGCTCTTCTCAAACTCGAGTTGTCAAGCACTCACACTACATCACACACTGCCAACAAGGTAAAACAGTAATCAAGAATTCACCCATAAGGGGCTATAAAAAAGAAAGCTGTTCTTTCAGAAGAAGCCAAAACCATGCCTGTGGCTCACGACTCACTGAGTGAATTAGGACTGCTCTGCTTGTGTGAAGACGTTGATTCAGGACAGTGTTGAGCATCACACACAGCTGTGCATTTTGGTGGGCTGGTCCAAAGTAGTTCACTTGGTCAGCTTTGGATTTTCATCTGCCACTGCTCTCAGAATTTCAGATGACAGGGAGGCAACAGCAACATCAGCGTGAGAGCTAGGAATTGAACATAGTGACAGCTGTTAAATACTCCCAAGGGAAAACTCTGTGTTTAAACCCCCCATTTGCAATTATCTATGCTGGAAGATTCTCAGCATTACCCGTTGAGTAACTTTATCCCATTTTCCTGTTGAGCAAGGACGCGCAACTAGTGATTTTATCCTGCAGCAGATCTTGTGTAAAAATGAGATCCAGTTTAAATTCACAGTAACTGCTGCCTTGCTCAATCTCCTCCGTGAACGGGAAGATAAAATCTACCATGTCCCCATGAATCCCACACACACACAGCTTCAGAGGAAAATGACTCCACTTCTGCTTTCTCCCATGCAGAAACAAGCAGTTGGGTTTGTTTTTGTTTTGTTTTGTTTTAAATAGGCTGCCATCCTTCATTATTAACTCAGGAAGTACAGCAGCAGGCCAACTTGCAGCTTCCCTTGTTGCTGCTAATGACAAATACCTACTGACACTGCCTTCTGGAGAACACAAAACTGCCCATGAAATCCCAAAGACCAGCCCGTGTTGTAAAGCAATTTCTTAAGGAGCATCAGTTTAAAGCAGAACATTCAGTTACCTGAAACAAACGCATGTTGACAACTGAGGGATGCATTGCTAAGACCCCACATTTTGAAGTTCAGGTTGAATTCCACCTCACTACTAAGCCTGATGGGTTGGTTACATACCAACCCCAGGGCTGCCTGTTCTGACTAGCCAACAGTACGTAACAGTTTGGCAAGAGGCAGCTGCTACAAGGCAGCAGGAGAGAGCGCCGAGAGCAGCGTGCTGCCCGGCCACATCCCTGCCAGCAATGGCACTGCTTGGTTGTTGTCTTCCTTCTGCTGCGCTGAAAGAGGAGAAACCGGTCTGTGAAAAACAAGTGAAGCAAAAACACGCCTCATCCACTCCGACCTACTGATGGTATGTGGGTGGCAGGGCCTGGGAGACCAGTCTGCTTGTGTTCCCAATTCAGCATGAAGTTTGGAAAGGCTTCTTAGCAGGGTTCAAAGCACAGGTGAGAAGAGGAAGCTGAAATGAATAGGTGACAAGGGATATTGTAGGGAAGATGGCACAGGAGAGGGAGTTTGAGGAGATGGCAGAATGCCTGTAACGTTCACATACGGAAAGGCCACTTGGCTACACTTGATTGAGCATGCTAATCCAAGACTTTTCCTATCTACCCTGTAGGCCATTTGTCCATGCTTGAGATGCAGGCTAGATCCCTCCCAGGCTGCTCAGCAGGTGAATGGACAGAGATGTGCATTCCTTAAAATCTGGGAGGACAGAAAATGAAATCCATGAGCTCCTGGGAGCCTTCCTGCCACTGCTGCAAGCAGAGGAGCCTGGCCTATGATTTGGTCTCCTGAGCATCTTGAGTCAAACGAGAGAAGCTGCTGCTTATTTTGGACTCTGTACTATGTGGTTTTCTGAGTACAGAATTGTGCAGATAACAATTAGAGGAGATCAGAAAGGCAGACTCAGAGCTGGCTGCTGGATGGGCTGTGCAGCACATTTAACACTGAAATGCAGTGAGAGATTGAAAACATTCTAAAACAAGAAAAAAAAATCTTCTTCCCCCACCGTCACATCACTGTCATCTTCAGTGGCAGTGCCAGCATCCCCCCTAGGGAGAGCTATCATTTTGTTAGTTGGATTATTTACCATGTCATACAAAAAATGTGAGTCAGCAGCCGTTCAGGATGGGCTTGGTGTGTCCCCGCACACAGATCCTCAAACTCACCACTTCTGACCATTTCCTCTCTATTCACATCCCTGCTCCCATCACTGGGATGACAGCAAGGTGTCATCCCAGACCACTGCCTGTGTTTGGGAGCACAGAGAGCACTGCACAAACGGAATGGTTCAAGAACTGATCTATAAAATACCATCTCCGATTTATTTTCACCAGGAGCAAAACGGAGCTTAACAGCCTGCAGTTGGGGTGCAGAGAACAGCAATTCATTCATTTATACATCCAAGGGGAGGATTAGGTGAGGGAAAGTGCAAGGGAGAGGAGCTGAGGTCTGGCCAAGCTGCTGGGACCAGCACCTCTGTTCCTGCAGAGGAAGCCCTGGCAGTGCCCACAGCCTCAAAGCTTTGCTGGGAAGCCACAGGTATTTGCAAACAAAAGCATCCCTGTTCTTCAGCTGCATATTTAGGGAAAAAAAATAATAAATAAATAAAAATCAGCTTGCAAGCATACCACACAGTTTGGTTACTTTAAAACTGGGCACAACTACCACATTGTGCATCGCACCCACCATGCCAAGAAACACGGACCAGTATCCGGTTATAAAAGAGACTGATTGTTTGAAATAAAATAAAAAACAACAAGTTTAACATGACAGATGTGCACCAGCACAGGCTGGCGGTGCAGCTGACTGTGGCCAGCCACAGCTGGGATCAAAGCTGGCCCCAGATCTGCCACAGAGCTCTGATGGAGGGGGCCAAGGGTGGAAACCTGAGGGGCCTCTGCTGCAGGAGGCGATGCTGGAAGAAGTCACGGCAGACAGGAGGCGGAGAGCTCCCATCCTGAAAGCCCCGAAGCCCGAGGGGACGCACCTGGCAGGCTGGGCCAGGCTCTGCAGAGCACAGAGCAGAGCATCGCCATCACTCTTCAGGCTCTCCAAGCACTTCTCGTTTGAAGTTATCTGGAACAAAAAGAAAGAGAGCTTATCAAAGGCATTGAAAGAAATTCCTCTCTGTCATTTTCTGCGGGATAGGGAAGAGGGAAACAAGTTACAGCATTTGTTACCCTTGTAAATGGAATGTGACATTAAAGAGACCCAAGAGAAAAGTCCCTTTTACCAAAAAGGGCTGAAGTTTAGGCACAGGCTGTCTAAAATGTCTCAGCTTAATTAACAAAATCCTTCTTTTTCTGCGTGCCTGTATATGTATGCGAGTTCACACATCACAGTCTGCCAACCCTGATTTCATCCTTAGGACCATTGTAAATACAAACCATTGATTCTGAATTCCACGGGGACCCTAGGAAAAAACAACCAAGCCTGTGTCAGTCTTAACATCAGGACACGTGGGGTTTTCTCTGGTTGGAAGTCGCAGCAGTGGAAACAACTGCATTTCAGTTGTTGCTTGCTGCTCACCGTTCATCAGGAATATTGCCTGCACAGGGCTCTTACAGAGCACACAGTGACCCAGGCTGTATGTCCTTCAGTATCAACAGCATCCTGATCATAGCTGAATTTGCTGTGACTGCTTTCTCTCACTCATCTGTAACAGCCCGTTTGTGAGATCTCCAGCCTTACACAGCATAGCCACACAGCTACAGGCAGCTGCACATTCCCTGACCCAATGGCAGAGTGAATGGGAAGGCCACGGGGACACAGCTTTAACCTGCCCAGCACGGTGACACAGACACTGGACACCTAACAGCTTGCTGAAGCAATAGTCCTATCACAAAACAGAGGGGGGAGAAGCAAAATGTTGCATATCAGTTCCTGCTTGCAAAGGTAAGTAAATCTTGGCCAAACAGAAAGGAAAAGGAGAGGATCAGAGCAGCTGATTATTTTGATACTGGAGGAGTTAATGCCTGAAACAACAACTTCTAATCCCAAAATCTGGCAAGGACTTTTAAGCCTCAGCATGCCATGGCTGGTCCTATTTACCACTGATCAAGCAACATGTCTTTGAATCTCCCTTTTAAATTACATGAGAAACTGTACTTAGAGCTGCCACCTCCACCATTTATCAGCAGTGATTCTCAGACACTACAACTGTAATCAGAACATCCTGTTGTTAGCAGGAATAGGGATCTGTCTGTAGTGCACTAAAATCTATCCTGTGTGTCAGGGGAAAAAAAAAACAAAAAACAGTGACCTCATTACCTAAGTATAAATCATTAGTAAGTTCTGATTACATGTTGTTGGGCATTTTCACTCTCCTGAGGTCATTTCTGAACCCTTTGATTTATATTTCAGCAATCCATTATATTCCAGTAATCCATTCTCCTTTAATTCACATCCCGTAGCTGCAAAAGACATTTTGTAACCAGAGTTCTGGATTTCAGACAAAGACAAAACTGTAACAGTATGGCTGCTGAGAGAGCGAAGTGCTCCAACCACAAGACACTGCTGTTCCTCCCCTGGGAGAGCTCCTAGCCTCTACTAAACATTTCCAACCAACTCTGAGGTACCCCTCATGCTCATTCCTCCCATTTATCCCACACACTTGAAGGAGGTCATAGCAGAACAGTCACTGAAACCTGGATCATGCTTCATGGAGTTAGGATGTCAAATGAAGGCTACTGGTATCTCCAGTTCTAATAAACCCTAATGCTTAGGTGATGAAACCTGTATCACCTCAGTGTTCTTTTAGCAACTTGTCTTTTTTGCATTACACATCAACCATTCAAAGCATGCTCAATTATAAAACCTTACATCAGTTTTTTGTTTTCTTTTTCTTTTAATTCTGAAACACTATACTTCAATTAATGACTTCGTCCTATGGAATTTTAGGATCTGACTACAAGTTTGCCTGTGCTGCAGCATGCCTTGTGCCATCATAGAATCACAGAATGGGTTGGGTTGGAAGGGACCTTAAAGCCCACCCAGCTCCAACTCTCTGCCATGGGCAGGGCTGCCGACCAACAAGACCAGGCTGCCCAGGGCCCAGTCCAGCCTGGCCTTGAGTACCTCCAGGGATGGGGCACCACAGCTTCTCTGGACAGCTGTACCACGGCCTCACTGCTCTCTGGTAAAGAATTTATTCCTAATATCAAGCCTAAATCTCCCCTATCTAGATAACACTGCAGTGATGCACTGCCAGCAGTGCAGGTGGCACCCCAAGGCAGGAACTGGACCAACAGCACTTTGCAGACTTCTTAACGTATTAAAAGATTGCTCAGTTTTTGTCGTCATTTTGTTCCACAAATAAAAAGAAGTTAACAAACCAAGCTGTCAGCAATCAAACTTTTTGGAGCCACATGTACTTCTCATGCATTTCATTGTCATCTCCTCCTTCCCAGCACTTCTGTATCCTTTATCCACAGCAGTTCTACTTCAGTTAGAATTTTAACAACTCCTTTAATGATCCCTTGTAACAATGCTGATTTGTCAGGGCTGGCTACAGCACATACTTAATCACTAATCAATAGCTGTTCCATTAATTTAAAATGTAATTAAAATCTCAGTTTAGTTGCATACTCACTGCAATTTTAAAATAATTTCAAAATGGCTTTCCTTTATTAAGCTAATAGTCATTCCAAAGCTTTCCTTCCTTCAGTTCTATTCAGCAAGGATGAGTCATTAAGAATTCCATAATTGATACATAAAGATCAGTATTACACTTGAGAGCAGCTGCCCAGGCATTGCGGGGCTGCTGAGGGTGAGTGCAGAAAAGGGGACAGCAGGAAGCACCCAAAGGAAGAATGCTTTTGTGGCACTGAGGGACATGGTTATCAGGCATGGTGGTGATGGGTTGGCAGTAGGACTAGATGTCTTAGAGGCCTTTTCCAACCTTAATGATTCTGTGACTCGATGATTCTTTGCTAATAAACTGAGAAGACTTCGATCCTACTTTTTCCTCAAGCTTTAAATGCAATTAAGCCAATTTTCTTGCAGGATCAGTTAGCTGCATTTCTCACTCAGCTTTGCTAGCAATGGGAGCAGCCACTGTCAGTACATGGGCTGGTTTACCAAACAAACACCAGATATTCACAGGTTTAGGATCATTGTGACAGCAACACGTACCCAAGCACTAAGCATCTCAAAGGCCCTTCTGTGATCAAGAGCTTTGGCTCCTGCTGCAATCAGAATAATCACATCTCTTCCCTGTGCACTACCTGAGGTTCTAAGTAGGATGTGGACAAATTGAACAAACGTCACAAAATACAGTGTAGTCAAAGCGTTGCCACAGCCAATGTGACAGCCCAGTGAATAAGTGAATGGAAGGGCATCACTGGAAACGGAGCTGGAGACCTCTTGTATCTTCCATGCTGCTGACCTCTTGTATCTTTAAATGTCCTGAGATGGACTTTTGCTTCCAGTCTGTCTCACCAAGCTGTGTGCAGGAATCAAACCAACTGCATTCCTTGGTTTGTCATTCACCATTTGTGAACAGTAACACTCAGCCACTGCCTCTTACAGAGGAGCGCTGTGACCAAGAATATGCTCAAGGAGGGATCAGTGCAGGTGAGAGTGCTCATAAGGGTGGCTGCACATCACTGTTGCTCCCCATGGTGTATGAGATTTCCTAGTAAGGACTGAGCACCTTTGTGACATCCATCCCATCAAAGCAGGCTTCCTTGCTACTCTGCTCTCTACAAATGGTTCACAACAGAGAGACAGACGGAATGCGTGTGGGAAGAACAAATCAAGTCAGACGAGTTATATTTACGTTACTAATTGCCAACTCATCTGAACAGGCCTGAGCAATGCTGCTGGACCATAAAAACAAGAAATGAAAGTTACAAATGCATGAGTGTTCCAGGTGTGCTTTGGCAAGTACTACTATAGCCAGGGATTGCAGACACAAAGACATTGTGGCGTTCAGATCCTGCAAATACATGTGAAAACAAGCAGGTATCTGTGACAAAAAAATCCCTACATCAGGCAGTTTAACTCTGATTTTAGAATTCAAATTATTATTTTTTTTCTTTTTTATGAATAAGATTCGTGTTCTGCTGAAGTCAGCAGCCAGCTCCATTTGACTTTGATAAGGCCAAGATTTCACCCAGTGTGTTCTGTTGTCTTACAATTTGTAGGTGTGCGGGTTTATTCCAAGCTTATGGAAGTTTCCACTGCTAACTTGCAGACAGTCGGGCTCCAGGCAGGCTGAGCATGCTGCCTCAAGGGCCTGTTGCAGTGAGACAAGGCAGGTCTGCTCCCATTGTATCACTGTTAATTGGTTTTGGAACTGAAGTTGGAATCGGATGATCTTTGAGGTCCCTTCCAACCCAAGTCGTTCTACAATTCTATGACTTTGAGTGTTCCTTGACACCTTTCGCTTTATAACTTTTATAACCCTCTTTATAACCCAGAAGACAGATATGATCACAGCTTCTATCTTCTACAACTGAATTCAGAAGATTTAATTTAGTGGAGGTGGACAGGGCTATCTCTTTACATCCTTTAGAACCAGTTGGCCACAGCAACCTCATCAGCAAAAGTAACCCACAGTCCTGTCCAGCAAACAGTAGCTTCAAGATGCCAGAGAAGACTTCCACAAACTGTTGCAGGGTTGCATTACACATATAATCATATAAACATTAATGTTGGAAAAGACCACTAAGATCACCTAGCCCAGCCTCAACCCATGCCCATCATGCCCACCAACCACATCCCTGAGTGCCACATTTACACATTTCTTGAACACCTCCAGGGTTGGTGATTCCACCACTTCCCTGGGCTGCTGCTCCAATATATGCAGCCTGCTCCATAGTGCACATTAGCAAGCCCAACATCAACATGACATTAAAAATAAACACTTGCCACTGTGTTGCTGGTCACCTCATCCACAAACACAGGTTCATCCATCATCTGCATGCTGATGGCTCCATGAGCTATCATTTCAGAGTAATTTCAGTCTGCCCAAGCATTCCCTGCTGGGCCCAAATATCAGCTTTAGCAAGAAGGGCCATGGACAGAGTTTGTACACTCTGGCAAGCCTCTCATAGGTTTCATTGTATCTGAGG